ACAAGCTCTGTGTTGTGTGTGCATCTATAGTATTATGAAACTTGTGAGAAGGTATCATTTTTACATCTCCAAAGCATAGTTTCAGATAGGGGTCTTATCTCCAGAGATTTGGTGAAGTGGTAAAACAACATATTTTCCACACTGAACCAATGATCAGAAAAGTTGATCTCAAAACTAAAGTTACCAAGTACCAAAACTTGAGACAGAAATCTATTCTGAATAACTGGCAATATTGTAGGTTTTGAACACATTCTTGATATCATTTGTCATAATTGTTTCCAAAACACAACTAATACTAATTGTATACCAAAAATGTGTAATTAGTGATACGACCATACATTATAATATGTACATAAAATATTTGAACTCTCATATTTCTGTATAATTAATTACTTATGTGGCAAGTTAATGGGATAATGTACATCCAGCTGGAAGTTATCGTAGAATAAACACATTGTTATATAAAAAAATATATCTACTGTATGTTCAATGTATGACTTTAGGTATTTTATACTGCTCAGGTATTTTTTTTAATCCACACTTGATAGTGATGAACCATGTAAATTACATTTCTGAGTAACCGTTCTAAATGTGCTGCATGTGCTAAATGTCTATTACACCTCATAAATTATGTATGTATATTACATCATTATAAAGTTTCTTTAAAGAGAATAGTTGATGGTAAGCCTGAGACGTAGATTCTGAAACACTTACTGTCATACGCACAGAAGTGTTTTCCCTGCTACTTGTAAGACATTTGCATGAGTGTGCCCTGCTCTGGCTGTGACACACTACTGCAGCTTCTCAGTATGAGGAAGTGAGCTTAGGCCCCTTGACAAAGTGTTTTTTATTTGACAGCAAACAAACAAAATGCTTATCATTTAAAGGGAGGGAAAGTGTCAAGTGGAAAGAACAGATGCCTAAATGATACTTAGCCTTGGTGTGACACACTGATGTATATCTCTGAGTCTTTAGCAACGTGTGTAAAATATATGCTGAGTCTGATGCATAGACTGGTGTTTTTTTCTTTTCTGGCCACTTCAAATGATGTCTAGACAAAGGTTCTTAAGTGAATCGAGCTGCAAATGACGTGTTTGTTGTGGGCTGACGATTACATTTAACCTTCCAATGAAAAGGTCAGCGTGGGAGTGTGTGATGTGGTAATAATGTAGGTGTACGTGTCAGAAGCTTACTAGCTTTCTTTTTTAGTTAATTACATGACATAATAGTGTTTTAGAATAGCACTACTGAATTTAGCCTAATTTTTGTAAACGATGAGACTATGTAGACAAAACTAATGGGGAAAAAAGTGTGAGACACTGTCTGGAAGTATTAGCACTTATGTTATTGGATATGAAAAATAGTGTCTGTTTAAAGGTTGCAACTATGGGCTATGTTTAAAGAGCAAAGTGGTACAAAATTGTGACATTAGTGCAACTAACAGGCTGCTGTGATAGTGATAGATGTGATAGAGCTGTTTAGCCACATCCCTTTAAGAAAATGGCATTCCTCTCAAGTTAGCTGCGACAATGGCTCAGTACCTAAAACTTATATCTGTGTTATAAGGAACTGTTATTTCATTTATTCATTTAATTATTTTAATTTGTCTGTATGATGAGATCTTTAATGCATGTCTGGAGGGTACATCGTTTCCTGCCTAAAGCTAAAGAGCATTTCAGGTCTTTTTTTAATTTTTTAATTTTACATTTTATTATTAATCATATTTCCTCATTACTCAGCTGGTTTCTTTTGTCATTTACTGTATTTTGAAAGTGCCTCCTGGGAATAGAGCGCTGCGGGGATGATGTATTTTTGTAGGCCAAAACCCAGAAACGTGTTAGCATTTTAGCACTTTAGCCAATGTCTCAAAATCTGTTTTTTTTTGTAGGTTTCTGGTTAAATGCCTAAAACAATGTCTGTGGTTAACACAAGTTTAAGATATTTTCATGTTTTATTTACAGCATGATTTTTTAAAAAGGATTTTAGTTATCTTGAAAAAGGTGGTTGCTAACAAGTGGCTAAATGGGACTACAGAGGTTGTCGGGGGCATTACACATCATCACACTGAACAGGAAAACTCCTTTATTCACTAGTCCGCTTTCAGAGAACTGGGATAATGCAGATTTCCAGGTTGGCCTACGAGAATATGTCACTGCAGCACTTTATTGCCCATAGAAAAAAAAAAAAAAAAGAGATTACAAAATAACAGTATAATTTTAGACATCTTAACATGTCTTGATTAACCTCTTGAATCCACTTTCACAAGAAATAGATATAAAAAGAATATGTGGCTAAAAAAGTTCTTGTATCTAGAAGGATGTGTCAATTATTTGTTACTTCAGAAGTTATCTGTAATGTGTATGGACTTTGGCAAGATAAATATATATATATTGAAATTGTTAAGGTGGGTATGTCTTGCACGATTCATAATTACGAGATCGTAAAAAGTGTTCATGTCTTCATAGAACTCGTAATTACAGCTTGTATCTGACCGTACGTAGCTCTGCCCTTGTTTAGAGCTGTATTCGATCGTCTTCTGTCTTCTGTTTGTATTTCCGCAGAGTTAAGGTAAGTTCGTACAATTTTATGAATGAACCACTCATTTTCAAATCTTCCCGGTCTACTGACATCTGCTTTGACCATTACAATGATCATGGTAACTTTAGTGAACTCTACAAAAAGTAAATACACTTTACCAGCTAATTACTATAGAGCAGTGATGGGCAAACTTGGCTCTTCCAGGCCACTTTCCTGCAGAGATTTGGTCCAACCCTGATAAAACTCACCTGCCTGTAGCTTTCTAGTAGTCTCGAAGACAATGATTAGCTGGTTCAGGTGTGTTTGATTAGAGTTGGAGCTAAACTCTGAAGGAAAGTGGCCTGGAAGGGCCAAGTTTGCCCACCCCTGCTATAGCGCTTACTTGCACTTGATTGTTCCAGGCTTTGAAAGTTCACAATATGGCCTGACGGCTTACATATAGCAGCCCATATAAACAACCAGTAATGAGGCATGTGTGTATATATATATATAGGCTTCAGCAGATGCCTTTTCTAACACAATACAAGACAAATACGTTAGCTAACACGGCATTTAAAAGGTAGCCTACTTTAGTTAAAAAACCTGTAATATTACATATTAAAAGCACAAACCAACACATTCTTACCTGTGAAAGTTTATCCAGTTTATTCAGGAATTTCAATTAAGGCAATTTTTACAACCAGATGCTGCACAATGTTGTTGTATTTTAAAAAACGTATTGATTTTTATTGTGGGTGATGACATATAGACTTTTCCAAGATGGCGGACATGACTGGAGCGGTCGAATGTGCAATCTACCTATATGCTATATGGCTGTAGCCTACGGCTGTATGGCTGTACAATTTATTACTTAGGCGCTATGTTTGGACGCTGATAGTGTTGTCATAATTCATAGTCAGAGTCCGAGGACGTGAACAGCTCATAGTAGTAGCTACGTCAAGTACTGTCATCTAGAAATGACGGTGCACAGTCATTCTTGAGACGTGGGACAAAACAGGTCCAGCAATGGTAACTACTATTAGCTTTAAAAAATAACAATATTTTTAATTTTAAATGTCATGAGGGATTAATAATAGAAGGTATTTAACACAATTATCACCTTCAATTTAATTTTCTCATTATTATACCAAATCTGTGTTTCTTAATGTCCTCTCACTACCTCTAAAACAGTGTGTCCACAGAGAAGGGTTCAATCATTCATATGCAATAAAATGGATAAAAATGTTTTTTTAATGATGAAAAAGAGCTTGTTTTGTGTCAACTCCGTCAGTTCTGTCACCTCCGTCAGTTGAAAATTTTGATAATATTTCATTATGATATTTTATATTTGTTGTGGAATTGTTGGTCACATGTGAAAGTGTAATCTGTCTGCTAACACGAGAATGTGTTTTGAAATGTTAAAAACATCTTGAGTGCTGTTAAAGATAAAGTTGAAATTATATTACACAGTCCAAGGTAAAAAAGCACATTTTGTTAAAAAAGAGAAAAGTTGGGAGGTTGTATCAAAGCATAGCTCAGTAGCTTAGTACATATAAGATACATAAATGTCGTTTCATTTGTCTGAGTACAAGGTTTTATTTTTTCAATTTTGCACCCTGTTTTGTCCCACTTCTCAAGAATGACTGGGCAATTATGACAGCGTGAAAGCAGCATGATACTGCAGTTTGGGCTGGATTATTTGTGTAATGTGGCTTTCATGGGTTTTTGCATTGCTCAAGACTGTATTACAAAAAGTGTCTTATACAAATTCATTTATCTTAATCTTATTGTGCATTAAAACGCTTTAATGACCACATAACACGCATGTTTTGTTTTCATTATGGGTATTTTTTTCCTTGTGTTGCCTAAAAAAAAAAAGTCACAAGCCTGCTGGGGCAATGACTTAATCAACTGTTTCTTAAAAAGTATAGGAAATTTAGGTTACTGCCAAGCCTCTTTCATACTCCATTCCAAAAGCAGGAGTAGGCTAATAAGGAAAGAATTAAAATATAGCCTTATGAGGAAGTCGAAACTGCTGTTCCGCAGAGTTTCTAATGTGGATGACATGGCAGGTGATGGCCACGAGTCCTTTGGAGAGAACTGAGTCATGATGTGTCATTAACCAGCTGTTAAAGTGCAAACAGTTAGCTGTGTCTCGTTTAGAAGGCTGCGTCCTCCAGGTCGCATTTAAGGCTGCATACGTCATCGGAAAAGTCTCATTTAAGAAAAGTAATGTTAAATTGCAAAGTAAAAAAGAAATTATAGTATTTTAAACCTCACATGGAATAACAGTGAATTTTATTATGGTTACTTTTCTTAAATAAGACATCCTTAATGACGTATGCACTGCACATACTATGCAGCCTTCAAATGCGACCTCCGGAGCACGCAGCTTCCGAAACGAGCCGCAGCTAGTACTGTCTGTGTATATAGCGGTCTATCTCTCTCTCTCTCTCTCTCTCTGTTCGCTGTAACGCTTTATATCGCGACATTAAATGTGTGAGGACACAAACACTGAAGACGATGAAGTAAAAGTCAAACTGACAGAGGTGAAAGAGCTACAGTGTGTGTGTGTGTGTGTGTGGGAGAGAAACGGAGAGAGAAAGAACGTGTCAAAGACCCGCCTACTGGGGTGAGAGATTGTAAATTTTGTGATCTTTAAATGATGAGCCAGTGGAAATTCTCATTTTAGTGCGCGTTTGCTTCGAGTCAGGACCACTACACTGAAAACAGTAAGAGAATATTATTTACATGTGACTAATTCGTTAATATTAATCATATATACATAATTGTAACTATGCTACATTTCTATGCTACATTTAAAAATATTTAATCATTTGAGCATTTTAGAAGTTAATTGAGACTATTTTACTTCACTGTTCACTGCTGACAGAGTTGAATGGATTAATGAATGAATTACACTTAATTAATAATAATATTTCAATAATTAATCTATTTTTGTAGTGTTTTATACAGTAGAGATTGTTTCAAAGCAGCAACACATTATTAAACAGGAAAGTAACAGAATAAATGATGCAAACTTGAAAAATGTGGCAAATCCAAATTCTGCTATAAAGCAGCTGTAGCAAGACAATAGTGTCACTGTTTAGCTCCAGTCAGTTCAGTGTTGGTTTAGTTCAGTTCAATAACTGTAAAGTTCATTCATTATGAAAGTTCAGTTCAGCTCTACTGAAGACAGTAGTGTCATTTAGTGTCAGTGTAATTAAACAATTATATTGTATTATATCACACATACAGTTAATTAATAATTGCTTAACAATCTTCCTTAGTTATTAAATTGATTTATTTGTTGTGCAGGAAGAAATGTTGGCTGCTTTCAGAGGACTTCCAAGGATTTTGCTAATATTCAGTCTAGTACTGAACTCCACTTTAGGTGCTGACACTGGATGTGATGACTGGATTCTTAATGGAAACGATGGTGTCTGCTGCAAGAAATGCAAGCCAGGTACAGAGACATTTACTGACAGCAATGTACTGCGTTATGTAACCTAATAATATTTTTGTAATACTGACATATTCTTGTAAAAATGTATCTTAATTTTAAAAAGGTGCAATTTAATAATTTTCCTTTTTAAAAATAATTTATTGGAATATCGAAGATGCCAAAAAGCGGATTACAGATTATCACTGAAATTACACATTAGTGAAGGAAGTTTCAGATCATTTTGAAAGTGTCACATGAAAAGGATGTGGTTTAGCACTCAAAGGGAAATCCATGAATTGTTCTGTCATTGCGTAAAGATGACTAGATCATCCTTAGAGAACCCAAAGGGTTGTCCTAGAAATCTTACTGTAAATAAGGAGCTCTGTAAAGCTTACTCGAAATGTCCATTTTCAAACCTTCTGAGACGCAGTGGGTGTCATTCTCTATTAGCAGTAACTATCCTATGTCATTCCAGATAAGCAGACGTTATGTTGTATGACATCAGTTAAACATACAGTGGGACTAAAACGTTAATATATTATCAGATAAAAAGTTGAACTTTATATTTGTCAAAACTTTTTTATTGCTGGATTTTAATGATATGAAAAAAAAAAATCCCTAAGACCTTCGGACACCCTTTAGTGATTAGAGTGCTGACGTCATACGTCTATAAGTGTCAAATGTGTGTGAGATTCAGTGGCCATGCTGAAAGCAGCTGCTTGTGGTTACAGGGAACCGCTTGGTGGAAAGTTGTGGAAGAGACCCAGAAAAGCTCTGTACCCCCTGTGAACCCGGAACTTACGTTAACAATCTAAAATTATCTTGTTTGAGATGTACCCAGTGCATAGGTATGCTCCAGTTTTACATCCTCACTACCATTTTGGTTAGCAAAAGATAATAAATGGCTATGAGAGAACAAATGATTTTATTTATCTGCATCATCATAAGCTTTGATATGTGCTTCATGCCGAGTACATAATATATACATAATATCATACTGAGTAAGCATTAATCTTTCTGGTACATGTTTACAGGAAATCAGTTTACACATAAACCTTGCACTATCAGCAGCGATACCGTATGTGGATGCAAGGACGGATATCGGTGTGGAAACAACAAATGTTCCTTCTGTGTTGATGAATGCAAGGTGGGGGAGGAGCCCACCAAAGAACGTAAGATTTGAATTTAACCCCTATTCTTGACCTTCTCCGATTAAGAAGCTCTCAGGCTGTTTAATATCAAATTGCTTGCTGTTATGCTGTATTATTTTTTAATAACATTCTGTAAATTAATGCTTGCAGGATCTTGTAGAAAATGTCCAGAGGGAAAATTCAATGATAAAATCCACAGTGTGTGCAAAGAATGGAGAAAAAGGTAGCGTACACTTGGCTGTTTTTTAAATATTATTTCTCTGAAATGCATTTGCCATAAAACTCATTCAAACTTTCTTATTCATTCTCTAGTTGTCCTGATGGACAGACTTTGGTCAAAGGAAATGTTACCAGTGACAGTACATGCATATATTTAGAAGGTAAGAAGAAAATACAGGAGAACATAACTTGGATGGCAAGCAACATGCCTCATCATTTAATGTTTTTGTGTCTGTTACAGAACCGAGACCAAAACTCTTACCTACTGGGGCAAAAGATGAAAATGGTCAATTAAAATATCTAGTGAAAAAAAAAAAACATTATCACCATTGCAGAGCTGTGCTCAAGTTAATTGGATTTATATTTTAAAATGAATATCAAATTCTAACCTCAAGGGCATTTTTGTTTCCTCTAGAACAGACAAACTGGCTTCCAGTTTTCATTGCTGCAGGGATGGCAGGTTTGGCTGTCCTTTTTATCATAGCATCTGTGGTTGCATACGTAAAGGCACAAAACAAAACAGAGAAGAAGCCAAAAACCGATACCCCTGACCAAGGTACCACTTAAACCTTTGTGTTCATTTTGTCTTTCCTATATGGCGTTCTTAGAATAAAACTACCTGTCATGATATTGTCTGATTTTACAGTATTGTCATTCCTTTCTTTTAGACCACTCAGACGAGTCCAGGGTAATGGTTGTTGAGCAGGAAGACTGTAGTTTTCGTCATCCTGAGCAGGAACAGGGTGGCAGCTCAGAATCCATCAATACGCAAGACTCAGAGTCTAAACTCATAGTGTGAGTTTACTGGACAGTATTTATTTTTTTTATCTGACTTTAGCATTGCTACAGGGACAAGAGGACAAAACCTCTGAACATCTACTAAACTGTGAAATACATACTTGACTGGGCGTCGATCCGCCATTCCAGTTGGTGTATCGGTGATTAATTTGAACAAAATGAGTTACATTTGTTCTGAAGAACAAAATGAACTTTCACGTCGGAGTTTCTGAAGTGTGGTGCACCTTAATAACACAAAGATGAGAGGTTGTTAATGTAGGTGTGCAGTAGCAGACAGCATGTCAACACTTTTATGAGAGTAGGCGTCATCTACTGGTGCTTGTGTCACATTTTCAGGTCAAAGCCCTCTTGAAATACCCTGGTGGGCTTCCCCACTTTTTCTAAAAGAGCACCATTTAAAAAAAATGATCTTTGGATCAAGAACAAAGAGGATAACATAAACACAATGAGACTGTTTTCAATGGAATGTTTGCACTTTAACCATTTTTATTTAATAATAGTTCTTTGTCCAGTTTTTATTTCAATTTTTTTATTGTCTGGAAATCAGCAGAGTAGTTTTTTGGTAGCTAAATGTGGTTGACCGTATCATGTAGGAAGTGAACTGCTGAAACTAAACATTTGACCTCAGGATTTTTTGGTGCATTTTACTGTTTTGTACATTAGGATTTAAAAATAAGTAAAATTGTCAACTCTTGCCTTTCTAAGCCCTGGGTTAACAAAATTATGACTTACTGTTCATTCATTCACAATTCCTTCTTTATCTGGGGTTAGGAATTTACCCTGGACATTTAGGTTTCGATTTAAGGTTTCACATGCTACATTTGTAAATCCCGGGTTAAAATTCTTATTTGCATAGTCAATATCATTGGATGAACTGCTTAAATTAAAGCTTGTCTCGCTCATACGCAGCAGTTGGGCTTATTTATTCCTGGCTGTACCATCCGGTTTATGCTAAACATACTTTTCGAACTTTCAACTGTAAAATTAAAATAGTTTCTTCACCCCAATTAACGCGTTTCCGTCACTGTTTCACATTTACCTCTCAAACGCTGAATGTTGCGATAACTCTACAAACCGCATGAGTAATTAATGAGGCGAGCGCTGTTTAGTTTATGATTGGTTGTTGGCCCTTACGTTCTGACGTCGCATCGTTTCACACGCAAAGATGACAACGTAACACTCCAAAGAGAAAGGAAAACTTGAAATCGCATCATATGACCCCTTTAAGGTCAGTGTGAAAAGCCCCATAAAAGCATATAGAATGTAAAAACTACACTGTTGCACTATAGTATACTGCACGGCTTGTTCTGTAGGCAATATTGTAATTGTATATCAGCTTGCCCCAGGGTTCTGAGAATCCAGGTGTTTGGGAATTTCCTGTAGGTAAATACCTTGAGTTCATGGAGTGGATACTGAGGTCATTAAACAAGTTATTGGGTACAAAATCCTCTGAAACTGCAAAAACATGGACGATTTCCTTTAAGTTTATTCTCACTGAGAATGGAGGTCAATAAACCAGTTAAAGCGAGTAGCTTCTGACATGGTTTTACATATCTAATCTAATCTAAAAGGATTGTTCAGTGGACTGTATATCCTGCTGACTCAGTGGGAGTTCCCTGATGACCAGAGTTGAAAAATATTTACTGTATCTGTAATGTTATTAATCTAGGAATCATGATGAATCATTTTGCATTCCAGTTTTATTTTCCTCCCACGTCTAGACATACGTGTACCAACGTGCTGAGCTCTGCATCCACAAAAAAGAAAAACCTCATATTATTTGGCTCCAAGGAGCTGTTTTCTCAGGGCGTTATAAGCATAACAGCAATAATGGAACAGGAGTGGAACAACTGGTGGGTGAGCAATGTGATAATGGTGCTAGTCTTTAACTGTCAAAAAAAAGGTCACCGTTTAATGTCACTTTATGCATCACCATGGGTTTACTGTGTAAAGCCGTATACCGGGTAATCCTGTTTATAAAACAGCTCCTACCGTTGCACTATAGTATACTGCACGGCTTGTTCTGTAGGCAATATTGTAATTGTATATCAGCTTGCCCCAGGGTTCTGAGAATCCAGGTGTTTGGGAATTTCCTGTAGGTAAATACCTTGAGTTCATGGAGTGGATACTGAGGTCATTAAACAAGTTATTGGGTACAAAATCCTCTGAAACTGCAAAAACATGGACGATTTCCTTTAAGTTTATTCTCACTGAGAATGGAGGTCAATAAACCAGTTAAAGCGAGTAGCTTCTGACATGGTTTTACATATCTAATCTAATCTAAAAGGATTGTTCAGTGGACTGTATATCCTGCTGACTCAGTGGGAGTTCCCTGATGACCAGAGTTGAAAAATATTTACTGTATCTGTAATGTTATTAATCTAGGAATCATGATGAATCATTTTGCATTCCAGTTTTATTTTCCTCCCACGTCTAGACATACGTGTACCAACGTGCTGAGCTCTGCATCCACAAAAAAGAAAAACCTCATATTATTTGGCTCCAAGGAGCTGTTTTCTCAGGGCGTTATAAGCATAACAGCAATAATGGAACAGGAGTGGAACAACTGGTGGGTGAGCAATGTGATAATGGTGCTAGTCTTTAACTGTCAAAAAAAGGTCACCGTTTAATGTCACTTTATGCATCACCATGGGTTTACTGTGTAAAGCCGTATACCGGGTAATCCTGTTTATAAAACAGCTCCTACCTCTTGTGAAAAAAAACAAAACAAAAAAAAAATCCCTTTTTTTTTTTTTTTCCCCACAGAAGTTTCATTTTGTGGGAAGAGAAGGTCTCACTAGAAATTGATGTTTGAGGTGCTTTCCGCAGAGATTTGCATGAATTTGTTGATTAGGGAAAGTCTTAACCTTTATCTACAGTTCAAATTTAATTCCACACAATTGCTGCTGTAAATGTAAAATGTGTTTATTGATGTGAATCAAGAAAGATATGGGTATTATAATTTTATATATATATGTCTTCTGTACAAAGCATTCATTAAACTTTATATAGGCAATGAAGGCCTACTGATTCATGACAACACATTATTTACATTGTTGCCATAATATACAATGAAAACAAATACAGTATAATGTTAGCATTCAGCATCAGTACATAAATACATGGAAGTTTCATTTCCTCCAGCCTGGCAAAACTACTGCATATATATAGACTATGCTGATGTACACTACAAAGAAGGAAGACGACTCAAGCCAAAATGGTGTAAACCACTAAATATTATTAAAATAATATTATAAACAGTAAATGTTTAATTTCTACAATGTGAATGCATGACCAGGTTCTGCAAAAAGTTTTCACAAGTTCTTACATAATGAAGGCGACCATTAGAAATGAAAATAACACTTTGGGCAAATTAAGACTAGTGTAGTTCCTGGAATACAGGAAAAAAGTACATGCAATTTAAAAAGAATGCCTGCTTGAATATCTTGAGAGATCAAGAGTCATGCAGAAAAACTCCAAAGAGGTTCACTCAACCATGTGCCAACTTCCTTTATCAAAGCATAGTATCGTTTCAGGTTTTCCCAGAAGTCAAATGTGTAATGCCAAGTACTGCTAGTGGTAGCTTTCCCTCTGTGGTTACATACCAGCCTCTAACCAGCTGCTAAATAAAAATGAAACAAACCAAAAGAGCATGACATGGCTTAAACAGATGTTTACTAATAATAGCAGCATTATCTGGATGGAGTGTCCCTGTTTTGCAAGTTCAAGTTGATTTGTTGATTACAAAAGTATCCCAAGTCTTGGAGAAAGCAGAAGACTGGAAAGCCCCAAACTGCCAGGACATGCATGCATTTCTTTAATCTAATTTGGTTATTAATTCAGTATTGCAGTTGATTTCAAACTTTTATATGTCCAGCATCACTGCTGCTTGCAGTTCTCTTTCTCTTTCTGTTTTGCATTTTCCTTTTTCTCCTTGGGCTTTACTCGTCCCAGTTTGTCACTCAGTCGTTTCGTGGGGGGCACAAAAGTAGGTTCCTCCAAGGGGCTGTACAAACCTACTTGTTGTGAAGTTTGATTTTGACAGGAATCTATAAGTTAATATTTTTATAATTATTATTCATACCATTCATAAATACTTTAGAAGCTGTTTGTGTTATGTGAGCATCATTACTTTGACCTGATTCAGCTGCGTCCTTCCTTTGAAAGGTGGGGTCCAGCTCTTCTGCAATATTCCTGATGGCTTGCGGTTGCCTGTGGTGACACCAAAGGAAGTTAAAGAATATTTCCTGAAAATTAAGCCATAGTTCATAGAGAAAATAGTGATTTACATTGTCATGGAAATGTGACTAGGGTGCTGATTGTCTGGGGTGAAGTCATCAACGGGGGATTGAAGACCTTCGGAATCCAGTCTCTGCCTCTGTATATCAAACAGCAAAATTCATAATTAAAATATTATTTTGTAATTTCTTTGTACCACTACAAAAAAAGGCAACTAAAGGTCAGTTCACTCTGGTCCAACAAACACGAACAGGGTTTTAGAATTTGTTAGAAATTGGTGTTTGCTGAGTCAGTGTGAATCATCCTTGAAAGATCAATATTTCCAAAGAACACATGTGGCAATACTGATGAATCATATGATCAAAAGTAAGGTTTAACCAGTTCATCAGTACTAATATCTGAAGGAACTGTGCCCAAGACATGCATGGACAAGGCAATTCTGCAGAGGTGTCATTTGATACATTCAGATAGTTGGAATTTTTGGTTAGTTAGTAATGAGTACATGGTTACGCAACAACAAAAGATAGTGTCAGTCTAAAAGTATGGCTACCTGTCTGTCACATGCTGTTCTCCTATCATTCTCTCTGTATTCTTGAACAGGTTCCAGCTCACGAGACCTCCGTTTAGTCTTTATCTCCTGTTTCTGCATGAAACGTGCAATTTCCTGCCACAAAACGACAATTTATGCACCCATCTATGCATTGGAAAAGTAGCCTTCATTCAAACTCTGCTTACCTCATCCTGAGCAACCTGTGCTGCCCTGAAGTCTCCAATAGGACAGTCCCTTCTAAGAGGAGAGGAACCTTGCGGAGTCTGAGAGAAGAGAACACACTTCAGTATTATTTTAGGAATTTTTGCTACTGTTATTGATAGGGATATTAAACAGACTTCATGGAAGAGCACTAAAACTATAGAGCTGGGCCGTATGATGGTATATACCAAGGGTGTTCAATCCTGCTCCTGGAGGGCCACCTTCCAGCAGAGTTTAGTGCTAGCCCTAATTAAACACACCTGAAAACCTACAGGCATGTGTGTTAGAGCTAAACTTGGCAGGAAAGTGGCCCTCCAGCAGAAGGATGGCTTGGTATACAATATACCAGTGATATTCAATCACGTTCCTGGAGCCCCTCAACACCAAACATTTTGAATGTCTCATTTGTCTGACACTCCAATTTCTTAGAGTCTTAAAATGTCTAATGAGCTGATGATCTGA